TCAACTAGGTGATTCTTCCACTCTTTGTGAGGTTGACTGAGGTCACTCAGTGTTATTCAGCTGACAAATAGCTTATTTTGGAGGGTCCAAGATAGCCTCTCTAATATGTCTGGTGTCCTGGTATGGATGGCTCAGAGGCTGGGCTCGACTCTGGCGGTCCACCAAACTACCTGTACGTGGCCTCTTCAACATGGTAGCCCCAAAATCATCAGTCTTCTTACATGGTGGCTGCCTTCTCCCAGAGCAAATGTCCCTAGAGAACCAGGTAAAAGCTATATGACCTTTCCTGATCTGGCTTTGGAAGGTATCCAGTCTCACTTCACTATATTCTATTAGTTACAGGCAAGTCATAAGACCAGCTCAAGCTCAAAGGAAAAGGGGAATTAGCTCCACTTCTTGACAGGGGACTGGACAAATTTGGAAAATACAATTTTCCACACCCACCATTCCCAGCTATCTTATTAATCAAATGCAAAACTTCGGAATGACAGGTAGGGCCAGATAAATGAGTAAAGATCACTGCAGGGGCCAAGTACATAAGCAGTGAGAGTCTAAATGACTAACCAATCTTATGTGCAAACTAAATTGTCCATACCCTAGAAAGAGTTCTTTTTAATTCCTGTACTTTTGTTGGAAGGTAAAGCTCATTCACCTCTAGTTGTAATAGAGAGGAGGTTTTTTTTAACATTTTATGTTGAAACAAAACATAAGGAAAGGTACATGGCCAGGTTTTCTGCCACAGGCTTTGTTTCTGTTTATGAGTGCTTTGAAAGCACATGACTTTGACATCTCCCTTGCAGATCTGAGCCCCAGAGCATCTTTCCTCACAGATGGGCCTCATTTTGTTCTTCTGACAGTATCTCTCACGTTTCTCCTGAGACTTTTTAAAGTCTAAAGGACAGCATTTTTAGAAGTGGATTTGTGTGTGTGTGTGTGTGTGTGTGTGTGTGTGTGTGTGTGTGTGTGTTTCTCTGGAAGAAAATTAAGAGTTGGAATTTCTTTTAGAAAGAAAAAATATTGCCCAGGTGTGGTGGCTCATGCCTGTAATCCCAGCACTTTGGGAGGCCAGGGCAGGCAGATTTCTTGAGCTCAGGAGTTTGAGACCAGCTTGAGCAATGTGGTGAAACCCCATCTCTACTAAAAATACAAAAAATTAGTCAGCTGTGATGGCGTGTGCCTTGTAATCCCAGCTACTTGGGAGGCTGAGATGAGAGGATGCTTGAGCCCAGGAGGCAGAGGCTGCAGTGAGCCGTGGCATTGCACTCCAGCCTGAGCAACAGAGCCAGACCTTGTCTCAAAGTAAATAAACTAATTAATTAAGTAGTACACGTTTTTAAAGACAAAAATTGAAAAAGGCAATGATTTAAGATGTTTATGTATAGTATATTGTATATACACAAGTGATGAATATTCATTAGGCCACATCTGAATATTCAAAATGCAAAAATAAGAAAATAACCACTTTAATGCACAGTACTTTTAAGAATTTCTAAAAATACCATTTCCTACCTAACACTGAAAAAAACTGTTTCCTCTAGTTGTTAAAAGATCAATATGATGAAATATTACTTATTACCCAGAGATCCTAAGATTATCAATGATCTTAGTGTATATTTTATTTTAGAATGAAAATGACACATGCTAATCACCATTATTAGCAAGCATTTCTGGGTTTTGTTACTTTTTACATTAAAACATTTTAATATATATATTTAGATCAGATTCAAAATAATGTATTCAGTAAGCTAATTCATACAGAAATTGTAATTTAACTATTGTGTTTAAAAATGAACTTTATTTTTAATTTTTGAGCTCTATATCCCATTTTAGAAAACTATTCAAAGTAAATATTTCCATCTCTGTTTTATAAAATAGACAAAGAGGCCAGGTGCAGTGGCTCATGCTTGTAATCCAAGGCACTTTGGGAGGCCGAGGTGGGTGGATCACATGCGGTCAGGAGTTCAAGACCAGCCTGGCCAACATGGTGAAAACCCATCTCTACTAAAAATACAAAAATTAGCTGGCATGATGGCGCATGCCTGTAGTACCAAATACTCGGGAGGCTGAAGCAGGAGAATCACTTGAACCCAGGAGGCAAAGGTTGCAGTTAGCCGAGATCACACCACTGCACTCCATTCTGGGCGACAGAGTGAGACTCTATCTCAGAAACAAAACAAAACAAAAAATAAGCTTCCTGTCAGCTTAAAGGAACCATCTTGTCTTTCTCTTATCTTAGTGCCATTTTCTTAGCTCCATTAAGCTACCACCTTGCATTTTAAAGGGCAGTAGCCAATCAGTGATTAATTAATCAATGCTTCTCCTTTCTATGAAGGAGGAAGGCCCTTGCTGGGTGTGGTGGGGAATCTTTGAAATTGGTAGTTTGGTTAAATGGCTCGTGTTGGAAAAGAAAAGTGATGGGAGAAATTCCTTATTAATTGTGAACTTGATTCTTTATTCACCTTTAAAATAAAATTTTCAGGTCGGGGTACAATGACTCACACTTGTAATGTCAACACTTTGGGAGACCACGGTGGGAAGGTCACTTGAGGCCAGGAGTTAAAGACCAGCCTGAGTAACATAGCAAGACCCTCTCTCTGCAAAAACTAAAACAATTAGCTGGGTGTGGTGGCACACCCCTGTATTCCTAGCTAACTCAGGAGGCTGAGGCAGGAGGATCCCTTGAGTCCAGGAGTTCAAGACTGCAGTGAGCTATGGTTGTGCCACTGCACTGCAGCCTAGGCAACAGAATGAGATCCTGTCTCTAAAACAAAAATAAATAAAATAAAATTTTCAGTTTTAGAATGTATGTACTTAGAGCACTAGAAAC